CAGCTGTAACCGCCGTGTGATAGCAGCGTGGAGCAGCAGCTGTGAGCAAACCAGTTGGGCCAAAAAGGACGGAGAAAGTTGACATTCCTCGTATATATCTTTACTTAGCATATTGCTAGACAGATGTTTCAAACTTTTACCAATTAAAATACATGTCACATGACCCCACCAGGCCAGTGAGTTGAGACACTTTGTCACTGTTGCCCTTGGAGCGGCTTGTAATCTGGCATCTGTACTGCAACAAGGTGAAGGAGTATTGACCACTGGACACCGTGTTGAATGGGTGGTAATGAAAGCAACGGCGAGGAGAGCCATTTATTATACAGAGGCCTGTATGCTCTAAAGGACAAAAGGCTTATCAGAGCACCAGAGTGCATCAACTGTGAATCGTCAGTGTTGCAATCATTCAAATAATGTGTTTGTTATCAGCGAGAACACAAAAGAAACACCATGTCAACACAAAACAACTTCCAAGTTTGTGTAGTTTGCGTTGTTTTTCAGATTTTCAGATTGTTAACACGGTGAATGTTTTGACTAGTGGTACCATCAAAAATAATATATTATATTTTTGTGAATGGATCACATATATCATTCCCTCTCTATAACTGACACACCACTTATATTCTGCATGATATGATTTAAAAATGGGAAGATTGCCACAGTGCACCAGGTGTTTGATTAATGGTTTTAAGAGCCCAAAAGCTTCAAAAGAGAATATCACTTTAATTCATGGACAAAATCAGCCTTAACCAAAGAAGTAGTGCATTACATATCATCAGCGTGATTACTTAACTGTCATCAGTCAACAGGACACATGCACTCCAATGTCATTAGTGCTAACAAGCTTGGCGGCGTTGGGCATCACAATGAGAGTATCTACGATTCAAAAGGCTGCTTATTTCCATGGTGACGGCGCGCAGCGTTTAGGAGTTCTGCAGTGTGGTAGGGGGCAGGGCGGGTGTTTTTGAAAGCTATCTCAAGAGACCCTCTCGAGGGAATTAGTTGATGGTGTTCACATCCAAAAAACAATTCACTTCATTTATTCCTAACCGCTTTGTCTTGCAAGTGAAGACATGAATATCAGTCTAAACTATTTTTTATTAATTGCTGTTAGAGAAGACGGTAAATCGCGTGTGACCTGGAAGTCCGTGAAGAAAAATGAAATAATCACTGTGTGGACGGTATGAAGTGTCTACCTGAAGTGATTCTGGCCCACTGATCGGAGTTTGCCGTTTCATCATTTATTGGAAGCTGTTAAAGGGTTGATAGGGCTTGGAGGTAATCGGTTGGATATGACTCCATCACTTCATCATATACGAAGAGATTTATTTTCATAAAGGCCATATCCATAAATGTAACCTGCTTTTGGAATTTAAAATACGATAAAACTCGTTTGGATATTAAATGAGTTTGTCTATTCTTAATACAGAGCGGTGAATTTGTTGCGCTCTGTGAATGATGGGCTGATCTTGACCTTGGCACACCTTTAATGACTCCCGCTTGTTTTATAATCAAGGTTGACATTCATCTTTGTCATTATTCTCATGGTAATTTGTAACTGCTGAACTAAACAGTGTTTTTTTTACTTTTTGCTGAGAGGTAAGAACCCAGTGGTCATTATATGTTTTAAACATGCAAAATAAGATACAGAGATTGCTGCACAAATAACTGTTTGGCACAGAACACGGCCGGTTGTTTCTGGTAAAAAATGTGAGGAATTGGCACTTGGGAGGGTCAAAATACTACTGTTTGATATTTCTGCATTATCGTGGTTTATGCTGCCACCTGTGCTGCCAGAGCCACGTAGAGAGCAGCTGGCACGTCTGACATTTTAATACAACACGATCTAAAACAACAGAGCCGAGAGGATGGAGCAAGGGAAACCACAGTAGTGGCGACACCTCTCTGACACAAAGCGTTTAACGTGTTCAGCACTGAAAATGCTCTCACAACCAAAATAAAAACTTCTGCCCAAGCTGTGGTTCCCCCTCAGCCAGGAGCCACACATATTTGACGAAGGACATTAAAGCTTTAACAGCTGCTGATTAATCACGATGGGTCTAAATTAGTGGCTGGCTCTTAACCGCGGTATATGGAGCTAGCTGCCCAGTGCACTTAGGCCCTCCTTTGCATGTACTTGACAGCTGCGTAGAGTAAGTGCCACTTCTGCCATTTGAGCTGCATCTTTTTATTCCGTCCAAAATAGTTTCAACAGTTTTAAAGTGCTGTCAGATAGTCTTGATTGTCAATTTGTTGGAAAAAGTAGTTTATATTAAATATGATGTTAATAAAATCTTTACTGTCCCTCCTGAAATTGTATTCTAACCTAAAATCAACTGTATGAACTTAATATATATATATATATATATTATATTATTATATATATATAAACATATAACAAATTAGCAAAGTTTAATTTGTCCGCTATCAGCTATTGACAACTGCTTCCCTTCAGTCCAAAGAGGAGGGACGTTTCATGTAAACGTAATACCTCGCATTCTGCACATGTATTACTACTACCGCGTACCCTCTAAATCATTTTGTTAGCCCTGGTATTTTGTTATTTTTACCTGTTTGTCGAGCCAGGTTCAGCCCAGTGGCGAAGTAATTACAACTTGACACTCCCGTGTGCTGCTGGTGGGAATCACTGCAAGCAGGTTGGCCCCGGTGGGTCTGCACAGTTCCGGGCTGAGCTGACAGCACCGAGCATCGCTGCAGGCTAAGGAGAGGAGCCAGTTTGCTAGAAAGTGGCGCCGTGTTTTCCCATTCAGACGCACGCTGGTTGCATGCCAACCCACAGGAATCAGTCTGGGAATATTGTGACTGGTGGAACTGCTTAATTGCAACAGAACTTTCTTAAAATCTGCAAAAAAATTAAGTGAATATGAAAAAAAGTAACCGCTTCTAAGTGCATTAAAATAGAGACTGATTCATAGCAAGCAGGTAGTTAGTCCACTGCAAAATGCTTATATTGTTCAATTCAACTGCTAGCGTTCAAATACGCCATCATCTTACAAAAACCTTCTGAAACCTGTCCACCCATCATACAGTATCATAAGAAATTAGATTAGATGTACATGCAGGCTAACACAGCATTACCCAGCAAACGTGTATTATGGATTATGCTGTAGAAAATGATCAAATAGACTCATCACGAGTACTTTAGTGCTCTGGCAATAGTGAAGGTGTGGATGTTTGTAGTTCAGGCTGGTTTTATTAACAGTATGTCTCAATGTTTGTCTTTGAGCTTTAAAACAAGGTCAGTAGAAGACAAAGAGGTGGATAGCTGTTTTTATCACACAAATAAAGTTTGTTGTTTGATTTGCAAATTGTGATTTATTCATCATTGTTCATTTTTTTAGTTGGATTATATCTTTTTTTTTGTATCTTCAGTGAGACCCCTGATAATGCGGACTGACTCTGCATCAGAACAGGTAAACTTAAACAAACGTGAACGTGAACAAAGAACACTGTTTACAAGTGAATCCTTCTGTAAAAAATGTGTTTAAATTGGAAATGTAATGATTCATTGCTCCGAATTGATGAACCAAATTAATCCAATAAATTAAATTGGGCCAAAAATAATTCCTCATAGGGAAAATGTTCTTCTTGCTAAATTAATTTGTTTTACGAGCTAATAATTGAAGTTCCTTTTTTTCTCACCCTCTGGCTTTACATGCATATTGTCAACTGCAATAGTTATCAATTCAGATACTCCTGTTTATATTAAACAGTATGCAAGTACAATAGTTAGGGTACAAAAGTTCACAAAATTCTCAATTTTTTTTAATAAACCAACAAATGTGAATTTGACATCTTAATATGTCTGATAAATAAAATAAGTCATCAATGTAGTTCTACCAGGTGAACTTGGTTAAAGATGCCTTTAATACTTTATAACGTGCTACCAGCTGTCATGTGTAGGAAGGGACCGTGTGCCAATGGCAAATGCAGACATGAGGTTGTTTTTATCGGTATTTAATTACGACGAACTACGCCGCTCAAGGTCACCCCATAATTATCGTAACAGCGAGAGCTTGACGTCTGTTTAAACCATTCTCTTTCCCCGTTAATCACTTTTGATGGTGCGGTTGTACACGCTGCCCCCCTCCTCAGACTCACCAGCTGATTTCACCACTTTTGTGTGGTGTTTTCGTAAGCAGCCGCACCTGTGGCGCCTTGTCTGGAGGCATGTGCTGTTCCCCGGTTGCTTTCAAAATCATTGCAAATTTCCACAGCTACATGCACAATTTTGCTAAGGTTTTGTTGTTTTTCTTTTGGCATTGAATAAGATATTTCCTGTGATGTGGGCTTCCCGTGCCGCCAACTGCACTGTGAATAAAAGCGCTGTGCTCTTTTTAAGCCTTCAAACACTTTCAGTTCACTGGTCCGTGTGGCTGGACTTCAGCAGCTCTCCCCATCACATGAACTCTCAGCTGAATATTGAGGATCTAATAAGGATCAGAATTTACCCAAATGCAACTTATACATAATTCTGTACTGTTCAGTGAATATAATGATAATAGTTTAAAGTTGTAGGTTTAAAAAGCAAACAGAAACGGTTCTGCCAGCCGCTCTAACAGAACTGAGGTCCCGTCTTTGGAGCACCTGTCTTGTTGTTGTCAAAAGAAGTGGATCAGGGGGAGCGTGTGCGTGCATGAGTGCGTACATGTGTGTGCGTGCGTGCATGTGTGTGTCCAGCATGTGGGAGTATATCTTGATCCACAGCAGCTGCCCCTCGAGCACTGTGACGAGCATGCACATTCAAAGGCTCTTTGTTTAAAGTAGAATAGAATCAAATCTGTTCTATTTTCAGATGGGGCTAAATCCTATTTGTTTTTTTGTCTCCCAGCAATAGTTTTCCCTAATCACATTAAGGCAGTTGATAGGAAAAGTTCAACTGACACATAATGAGCACTTTTATCAGCCATCCTGCGTGAATCATCATTTCCACTTCAAATGTAAATGTTGAATAGAATAAAAGGACATTTGTGAGGCAGTTTATAATTATATTTTCTTTATTAATTGAGTTTTGGTTTTGAATGTTCATTTTATCTCATTGGCATTTCCTTATAAGTCAGTGTGTATTAAAAATAACTAATCACAGGTCTCGCAGCCGACATTATTTCACCAAACATTGATTGCCGCGTCCGGAAAATAACGACACTAATGAAGAGACATTCTCACCTCTCCGCGGACAAATATTTAACAAGCATCCAGAGAGTAGCGGTAACAGAGGCCAAGTCTCCACAGCTAAATGTCACTTTCATACAGACAGAATATGCTTTACAAAGGAGGCGTAGTTGATGCACCCGTTGGCGTCCTCCTGTCCGGACATCAGTCGGTCCACCTCGTCCTCTGTCATCCTCTCTCCCAGCGTGGCCAGCACGTGACGCAGCTCTGCTCCCATGATGGTGCCATTGCCTTCTTTGTCAAAAACCCTGAGCCCCTCCACAAAATCCTCAAAGGTGCCTTGATTTTTTGCACGGGAGATGTGTTGCAGCATTGGCAGGAAGGTCTCAAAATCCACCATTTTGGAGCTCATGTCCTCCGGCCCCGGTTTGCCCAGCACTTTGAGCACATCTGCGTTGGTGGGGTTCTGGCCCAGAGCTCGCATCACGTCCCCGCACTGGCTGTACGTGATCTTCATTTCTCCAGTCGGTGTGCGGTCGAACAAGGTGAAAGCCTCCTTGAACTCCTCTATCTGGTCGGCGGTGTACTCAAGAGTGATGCTCTTGGGATCGAAGGCGGGCTCCTTAGGCGGCTCAGGCAGCGGCTGAAGAGTCGGAGCTGGCTTAGCGGCGGGAGCCGCATCTTTCTTGGGCTCTGGCTTTTTGGGCTCGGGTTTCTTCGGTTCAATCTTCTTTGGTGCCATGCTCGGGGATAAAGAGGTGAGCTTGTACTTGTACTGAAAAACAAGCAAGAGTCTGAAGGGATTGGAAGGGATCCCCAAGCACAGAGGGCCACCACCTCCACTGAAGCTTTTATATGTGCTTTGTCTGGGGAGCGAGATAGCAATTTAAAACTGAACACTATAAAAGGAAGAAACCCGAAATAGATTCCCATAGCAAGTGATGTCAACATAAAGTATTGTTCTCAGCTGCTGTCATGTAGCCAATGGGGCTATTCACTGTCATTAGTGAGGGTCCAGTTGCATTAAGCCAAAAATGTTCCGTCCCTCTGATGGACAAAAGGATCAAAGGACAATAAATCAGCCCATGAGGTCGAGGGACCTAAATAGATTTGCCCAACAACGGCTGAAAGTCTTGGAAACACTTTTTCCAGGATGTTGCAGTTGTAAATTCCCAGTAATTATGTGTCAGAGGTCTCAGGATAAAACAGCACAGTGTTGAACTTATTATGTAATAGTGTCTAATAAGAGGAGGCTATGCAATACTTACATCTTCTTAGACGTTTTAGGTATTTGAGTAATTGTTCATTGCCAAGATAAATTACACCTTGCATTCTACTACTATTCCAGAGCAGCTAATAGTTTTCCACCATATTTGGTAACCGGCCGAGCTCTCAAAGACCCTAAAGGCACTCTTAATTAATGCTTTATTTCAAACTAATGTGCTGGAAAGGTCACCACTCAAGTCCTTCAATTTCGAAAAATACATTCAGTGCCAGTATCAATTATAAGACAATCTAAAGCTGTCTGCTTTAGGTCCCTAATTGCAGTGATCAGGACATTTTCCACGTAGAGTATCTTTATATGTTGAAATACATTTTCCATTTAGTTAAATGGTTATCTTACGATTTATAATTTTGGCGGTCTGCATAATCCTAAAATACTGGGTTTCTGACCTGGGACGACCTGCATCTTTGGAATGTGTTTATTGTCTTTGTGCCCAGCTAAGCGCAGTATACGCTGCACCGGCTACAAGGTGAAAACCAGGCAAGGCAATTCCATTATGTGTCGACTTTCTGAATACGTAATATGTCACTTGGCTTTATGTAGATGACTGCTCTGTAATACCTTTCAGTGAATGATAAATGAACCAATAAAACATTCATTTAATTTATGGCAGAGAAGGTGTGTGTAGGATCTGCAACTCTTTGACAAAATCTTCATTATGAAATCCTCAATTCATACATGCAGCGCAGTTTACCAACTTCAAGCTAAAGCCTGTCATGTGATAATCATATTTACCCTTTTCTATCTCCGGTCCCGCTTTGATCCAACAACCTAGAGCTTGAAGTCCTCCACTGCAACCTGCAGTGTGTCTGTGTGTCTTAGTGTGTGTGTGTGTGTTCAGCTTTCCTCAGCCAAAGATCATTATCTCCCTTCTCTTTGTTTTTGGAGGTCACATGGCTGGTGAAACTGACAACTAATTTGTCGTCCCCTTGGTGTGTACGTGCGCGCGGCAGAAATAAACAGTCAGACCTGTGGAACGGGCCAAACGGAATGCTCGGTACTGAAACGCCTTCAGTAGTACGGAAGATTACAGATATTTCCCTCAGAGGCCACTACGGAGCCAGTGTGATGAAATATCACATTAGTGCGAGAGCCAATTAGAGCGCTCGCAATCACAGTGACGTTGAAGATACGCCAGATGCTGGTTGGTATGAAATGCCTGATGAAAAGGTGAACCTCTTGTCGAAAAGGACCGGCGGTAGCAATATGACATCGAGGTATCAGAGAGAAGAAAAACCGTAGATTCAGTTTGGTGGCTTGAGCATCCGACTGAAACTCGAGAGCAGAGGCTTTGTCAAAATGTCTGTCGGCTGTACACAGATAAGCCGCCGGCTGCATGAGTCATGAAGGGGAAGACTTGTTACTTTTGCTGTCTCCCACCAGAACTTCCTTCAAACAAGGCGTCAATCAGAACACTGTTATTGCAAACGATTGAAGCAATCGATGGCTGCTCTCAGCTTCTGAAGTTAAAGTGACGATTGCATTGGTCCTCAAGATCAGATGTCTGCATATGTTGAAAACGGCTTACAGATCTTCAAAGACGCTTATTGATTTTGTCTCATTTTCAAAAGCTTTACTTAAACACAGTCTCGTTAATGATTCCTATGTAGGCCTACTCGTGCTGCGATTAGGTTTGTCTGATTTAGGATTTTCAGCCAAAAAAAAGACAGCTTTGGATGAGAATCATACATTTGAGTGACAGTTAATACGAAAAACGATTTAATAACATTACAAAAAAAGTGTTTTACAGGCTGACACCCGTCAGAACTAAAGATGGTGGGGAATATTTCTTGTCACTCCTGTTTGACAAGTCATAACTGGGAATAAGACGAAGAAGTCAAAATCCAGGAGCAGTTGCTCGGGGGCTGTGCATTAACCAAATATTTGATATTTGGAAACTTGTTGCTGTCAGTATTCTTGAAGCTCTGGAAAAAATGACATTTTTGACAATACAATTACACATACACATCAGAATGGAAATGTAAACGACAGCAAAACCATGCATAGTGGGATAGGAGGACACACATAAATAAAATTCCCAGACTTTTATAATATCGAACTATGTGGAATATAAAAGACATAACTCTCCTTTTTTTCTTTTTGTGTCAAAAGTTCTTGAATTCCACTTTCATGTTTGCAGTTTACAGCTGTTAAACCAACAAAATCAATTTGAAAAGGTGCACGTGTCATGACTTTGTATTAGCCAACCTATGGTTAAGTTATCAACAATTTTAATTCAGCTTTCAAAAAAGTTGTCATTTTTTTTTCTCTTTCAAAAAACAATATTGTCCAAACTTCAACATTATCGAGCTCTTATGATACAACACAAGCACCAAAAAAAAAAAAGACTAAGCTACGTCCAGCAAGCCCCAAAAAGTCAGTGACCAAAAGTCACTGCGTCAGTCCCTTCGGACTCCGCTGGGTAAGTCATTTGTGGGCGAGTGTGTTTTTGTGGAGCTCTTCAGCCTGTTTGTTTATATCTGTGTGACCAGGCGAAGAGAGAATGGTGAAAGACAGCAAGCCCCTAATCCCTGAGATAACAGTGGGAATGAGGGCAGGCAGACCGCCGGTCTGGTCCGCGCTAATAAAATAGAGTGATTGAGACAGCGGTTACATTCCTCCTATGTCCCTGAAATGCCGTGTGACTCAGACTTTAAAGATTCTGTGTTTTGTTAAGGGGGCTAAAAAGGGAAGCAGCCATGAGCGCTTTTCATCCACCCGGTCGACCCGCTGACTGCGTTGTGTGCCAAATTGTTACGCTCGCCTCACGCAATGAATAGAACACTCAAATTATTCATGGATTCCTGTCCGTCTGAGTTTAAAAATGTCTTGTGTTGCCTCACGCAGGCCTTGAAAAATTCCCAATTTATGTCAAACAAGTCTCCCTTTACATAGAGAGCAGAGTAATGCATTCTGTGTTTCTTTCCCACTCAAAAACAATATTAATGTACAGAAGCAGGTGAGCAGCATCCAGAGAGTAGCGGCACTTGTTGAATTAGCTAATCTCGCCAACGTAGTCCTCTGTTCCGATGTGAACGAGCACACAACTTCTCTTATGAGTCCGGTAACAATAGTGCGTGGTAATAATGGAATGACGGTTGCAGGAACCAGCTTGCACACATCTGTGTAAACAATTTAATTAAGACCATGTTTGATGAATTATAGTTGGGGAAAGCTCTGCCTGTTCTAATACTTCAGCTTCTTAATTACACCAGACACCCATGTGTTCATTCTCTCTGCCGGCCGCGTACTGTTTTCCCCAGCTCACAATGACAGAAATTGAAAAGCTACAAGAAGGAAAGTGCATTTCACACTCTACTGAAGCAAAGCAGGCAATTTGAAATTAATCAAAACACAAAAAGTTTACAACATGATAAAGAGGAGTTGTATATGAAATGAGTGGAGTCAATTTGTGATGCTCAGCCCCCCGTTTTATGTTAAAACCGTTAAAATAGAAATGGGAAAGAATTGCATTTGAACTAAATGACATTTTAGGTGAGAAATTTGAATTATTTATGTTGACTATGTATAAAGTCACAGTTATCTTTTGGGGCAAATGGGCTTTGAAAAAGCTCTATGCACACATGTGAATGTTTTTGTGATGTCTCAGTTAAATATAGGAGCGACCTTTGTTATAAATAAAAAGGAACATCAGTTAAGTCTAGCATTGAATGTCAGTACTCATAGTAACCATTGCCCACTTAATCCACTGCACCATGAAACAGAGAGGAGCACATTTCAGAGTAAGAACATCATATTTGATTACAGCAATACCTGCTTCTTGTTTCCTTCGATAGGCCCAGCAGATATTTGAATTACAGTCAGGTATATGTAGGTCAAATAAATAGCACAGTTAACTGTTGAAATGCCCTTTCATCATAATAAGAAGGTGATTTCTCGTCTTTCCTTTGAGATTAACATCTGCAGTATGACATGACTTGTACCTTGATACTTTTTAATGATGCTTTTAATTTGGAATTCAATACGAAATTCCATTAACCCTGCAGTATTGCTATCTGAAATTTTTTTTTGTTTAAAGTTGGCTTGTTTGCCTCTACAAGACATGAGATGGTGTTGAAATGGCAGCAGATGGAGGGAGGGATTATTTATTTTTGCAAAGTCTTTGCTCTTCTCAGATTATTGTGAATTAGGTCACAATGGTTTGACATTTTGTAGGTGGGCCCCCTTAAAAAAAAATCACAGCCTCTTTTCTTCTTCTTTAGCACTCACCTTGATCATGCTAAATTGAACTTGCAAATTGTTAAGATAGTAATCTATGTTAGGCACCAAACAATAGCTGTGAGATCAAAGTGCACATCGGCCTCACCAGGAACGAGCGCGACGCCTCCTTCTCCCAAGCTCCGATTGGAATTCTGACAGAGAGATTAGGGAAGTTTCCAAGCTATTCATACCACCACCACCGTTCTCCATGGATCTCTTTGGCTTGGTGGCAGAATCCTCTCCTGTCGTGCTGGACTATTTCCGGTGTGCCTCTGATGCTGTGTTTGGAGCGTGTCTCTGAATGGCTTTTACCTGTTTATCCCAGCAGCACACAGGCTT